CATATTCCTTGCAAGCTTCAAAGAAGCCTTAGAGATACCAACACGTCTACGTACATAAATTACATTGAAGATGTTGGATTTGGAAGAAGAAGAAGAAGAAGAAGATTCAAGCACAAGGAGGGTTGAAGAGTTTCAAGATTTTGAGATTCTTTTCGATCTTCTTTTATATACTTTATTTTCGAATGATATACTACCAATCTAATTTGTGTTTTGGTAACAATACGATACTCGAATAACTGTTTATACACTAGGATAACGATGAACTTTTTATTATAACATTTTATTGCTAATTTCAAGTTCTTGACTTTAATAATTATTTAATTTTGAATTATTGTTAGAATTTTAATGCATTTTCAATTACTTGATCAACATTTGAATGATTTTGTGATTTCTATTCAATTAGAGAGAAGGAATAGAAATTACACGACATAGTAATAATTATTATAAAATCCGATAATGGATAGAAATATATCATTCTACTGTGCATGTTCTTGTTAATATTCATGTGATTTAAAGTATCTTTAGGCATTCACATTCTTAATAGAAATATAGTAGGATTATATGTGAGAACATATTTGATTCTTTTCGAAATATTATTAAATAAAATGGAAGTATTATCTTCAAGCCCTAATAAGTGGTGTCAAATAATAAATTTATATTAAAATGAAAGAACATGTAGGGATTCAAGTCCAAGTTCTTTTCAATTAGTTAAAAGCTTGATATTTATATTAGTTATAGGTATAGTTTGGTAAAAGAGGAATCTAAATAGGCATCTAATTGAATACTATAGTCTCTTTAGGAAACGACATTTGAACTTACGTCTATATTACTATTTATCACTATTCCATACATTTATAGTTTGGTCGAACAAATATAACTTGTCACTTTTTAATTTATAAGTGTATTTTGATCCCAATTATATAGTGGGTCGAAATTACCTCATACGCGTATCAATTGAATTATGACAATGAATATTGAGTTTTCATACTCTGAGAGTAATAGAAATTTTTCCATGCATTCTAGTACTAAGCGCCCCGAACAAAATAATCAACAATCCTTATTACATTTTACTTTTCTACAATCCTGTAAAACTTAATTTATCTCTAGTATGTAAAACATGTCATAAGTACTTAACACTCTAATAATTATCTAGACAAGCCATAACAATCTTATACTTGTTAGGGTATATGCCCAATATATATTTTGATTTCATTTTTGCACGAATAAAATGTTGATTTATATTATTTAAAGAACGTCTGAGGGATTTGGGCCATTTTTCGAACGAACGAGCACTTCTATATTTGGAACGCTCGGATAGTCGGTGTACGAAGAATTGAGCGTAACTTTTGAAAGAGGTGTCCGTTTCGGGCCCATAAGTACTTTTTGGAAATGTAGCGACCGTTTTGGATTGAACTCACGACTTCGTCCTGACATATGAGAGATTTCGGCCATTTTTCGAAAGAACGAGCACTTCTATATTTTGAACGCTCGGATAGTCGGCGTACGAAGAATTGTGCGTAACTTTTGCACACGGTGTCCGTAGTTCTGTTTCTTTATTGAAAACGTTTTGTTTTGTTCATTTATTAATATACACTTATTTAATTTGCCTAATTATAATAAGATTTTCCCACTTAATCTTAAAATTGTACAAATATAAAGACACCTACTTCTTGAAAATTAAATCATTCAATTTCTTTACTATTCCCAACAGTAACTTACTACCAGTTGTTAATAATTAAATATTGGTAAATTAGGAAAGTTTTTAGCAAAAATTTCTTCTTCAATAACATTAAATAAGATTTTTAATTCGTGTGAAAAATAAAATCAACTTATATAAATTGGATGAATGTAGTATAATTTAACAAGGAACACATATTAAATATCTAAAATCAAATGGACAGAGTACATGATCATTGATTATCAAATTACAGCAACGAATCTAGACATACATGTTAATAATTAGTTGCATTCCAACCTATTAATAATGGAAGATTTGTAAACCTTTATATCAAATTCTTTAAAAAAAAAAAAATGAAAGAAAGAAAGAAAGAAATGGGAATGTTTCACTTATATAATTTTTCAATTTCTTGAAAGAATATCGATGAATAATGTTTCACTTATATAATTTTTCAGTTTTTTGAAAGAATATCGATGAATGGAGGTTTGAGATTACGTTGATCAAAAAAAGTGTAAAACCCGCTTTAAGGAAAACATACTAAACGCTTAGAATTTCAATTCTATCCAATTATCTATCGATTCAAATTTTCTCAATTTCGCCGTCCCGCATCAAAAATATGATAGTGAGAAGAATCGGATTCCAGCTATACTCATATATTTAATTGTTCATAATTTTTGCCGTCGATCTTTGTTTAATATATATGTATGTCACATGTGATGTATTGAATATGTCACTACTAATTTTATAATTTGAACGAAAAAGAAAATAAATGCAGTTTATATTACTGCGAAGCAATTTTGTCAGCATTCAAAGTTCCAGATACCCTTTCTGACTCTTCTTCTTCGCCTATCTGTTTTCCTGGTCACATGTATATATGTCACATGTGATGTATTGAGTACGTCAATGTCCTAATTTTATAATTTGAATGTGAAAAAAAATATTAAAAAAAAAATGAATGCATTTTCTTATATAAATGAAGCCATTTTGACAGCATTCAAAGTTAAACTCTTCTGCTTCGCCTATTTGCTTTCCATGTTAATCTCCTTACACAATTTTCTAATATTTTATTTCGATTGTACTAAGACGGACTAACAAAAGTTGGCAAATTTAAAGTCGACTATATGAACAATTATTTGTATTTCCTTAGTTTTTGCTTAATTTAGTCGAATATTTAATCAACTTCAATTTAAAATTTAGTACTTTATTTGGCAAAACAAGTTTTAGGGTCATAATAAATTTAATATTTAATCAACTTCAATTTATAATTTAGTACATTCTTCTGCATTAAAGGTGAAATTGCATTTCTGTTTTCCTCAACAAAATTAAAAAGAAAAAAGAAAATTAAAGTGTTTTTTAACTACCGTGCTATACGACCTGCATGGATGACTGTAAGGATGACCGCATACACACTTAGGGGTAGGGATTTTTTTATTTTTTTTTGCACGGGACCCATACATCCTATGTGAAGGCGCCGTCTTCGGAGGTGTCAGCCATGCGAGTCGAGTAGCGTTACTCATTTTTTAATAAAAACACTTCAATATTTCTTGTTTCTTTAGCCGCCGCCAATAATTTTGTCAATGAATTCGAAACTTTATCTTTTTGATTAAAAAGTCTAAAATAGTATTGGTGGCCCGCAACTTGCATATATTTACTAATGCTTATGGATTCAACAATTAAAATTTCTTTGAATTTCTTTGGTCTGATTTGGCGCACAGAAAGAGAGTCGTGACTATTTGATTTGGATTAAAATTTGATTTTAATTTAAATCAAAGTCAAATAATTAATATTAACCACATTTTTTATGAATCCAATAACTTTCCAATCACATGTTTCAAAAGACAAAAATTTTAATCACTGTCTACTAAAAAATTTAATTTTAATCCCCACCAAACACCATTTAAAATATATTCTTGTCAAATTCTATTCGAGTCTCCATGTTAACAAAAATAAATGAAAACTTTGTTCAATTTCTTCTACGACAAACATTAATCATGAACAAAATGGAACGATCGATCATACTTCGATACTTAAGACTACTAAAAAATTTAATAAATAAGTTGTACAGAGTTTTCAAAATACACGAAAATAGCATGAACATGGCCTGTGGAAGTAAGCAATATCATAGAACTTTGAGGAGCGAAAATAAGGGTTCGTCGATAAGTGCCTCTTTATCTTAATCATTCTTCATTTTAAAGATTTTCATGTTTTTGATACTACGTTCGGGGTTGGTGCACATAAGCGAGTCGACTTTGGACGGTTGATTTCTTTGCTAGATTGGTGTCTAGAGAAATGTTAAGTAGAGACATGTTAAGTTATAAATTTCATTCTAATTTATTATAAAAGTATTAATCAACATATAAAATTTTAGACTACTAATAAGATTGATCATCAAAACCTTAATAAAAATGACTTGTGAAGTTAGATTTATTATCTTTTTCAACTCACTTGTGTCGCAAAATAACATTATTATTGAAGAATTGATATTTTATTACTCTTTTAGTTTTTATGCAATTGTCGAGTGTATAATTGCGTAACAAATTTTATTTTTAGGCCTTGTTTGAGTCACATTTTTTTTTAAAAAAAATATATTCTTCAACAATGATTTAACATCATCTCAACCACATGTTCTTCAATAAAATAATATTACACGCAAATTCGAAACTTTTCCTTATTTCTTAATTACATATTTCTCATCAAAACACTATTCAAATTACATTTTTATTTCAATAATGTGGCTCAAATAAGTATTTAGTAATCTATTCGTTTGAAGTTTGGGGTTTTCCTAAAATGACTTATTTTTAAATATTTGTTTTCTTCAAAATCCTGATCAAATTTAAACTTTGGTGAAAACTTGCATTCGTCACTATTACGGTATATATAAATCACAAGTTTGTATCTATATGTATAGATTTTTTTTTTCTCTTTGCCCTTTTAAACACGCTAATAGAAGATTCCAGCGGAACTGTCTTCATTGAATTGATAGATGCAAGCAAAATCATAAATAATTAGAGGATATTTGGTAATGATTAAAATTGAATTTTCTAGTAGATTGCGATAGAAGTATTTGAAATGTGTGATTAAAAAGTTGTGGGATTCATAAATACGTAGTTTATATTAATTGTTTGACTTTGATTTAAATCAAACAAGGACTTAATAATTACCATTAAAAAAAAATTATGACATCACCAGCAAGCGCAACACGTCAATATTATTTTATAACAAAACAAAAAATATTCCAAAAAATTAATTATTTTTTAATGACTCAATTAGGATCAGGCAAAGTTCAAAGGTCAACGCTGTCTTCCATTTTGACTATATATGCTTCCCCATTCCCTCTCTTTCTTCTTCATCCTTTCCAACTTCTTATTCATTCACCAAACACAAAACAGTTCCCATTCTTGCAAATGGCTACCAAAGTTTACATTGTGTACGTTCTTTATACTTTCTGTTTAGTTCTTTATTTTTTTCCATTATATATTTTTATGGTTCTTGAAAGTTGGAAAGTCCCCTGCTTCTTGTTTTATCCTTCTAAATTTTAAATCACGATCTTGAAGATATTTTACATTCAGACTAAAAAATAGAGAATGGGATTGTTGGGTCATATGAAGTCCTTATATAGGTTCTTGATTTTGTGATTTAAATGAACTTGACATCAAGAAATTGATTATTTTTGTTATTTATCGTTGCCTGAAAGCCGATTCAGGTTGCATTATGAACTGTGGCTTCTAGAGTAAATCCCCATATTAAATCTCTGTAAAATTTTGCGATGTGTTTTCCTTCTTATTGACTGTGTGCCAAAGTAATATTTTTCTTTATTGAACTGATGGGGTTTTCTATCAATATTCTGTAAAAATTTAGGACTTTGCTAGTTGTAAAGTTTTCTTTACACCTTTGTTGATGGATGCTGAGGTGTCATACATTTTGACCCTTGATTTGAATCTGTCAACAAAGGTGGAAAACAATTTCTGTACAAGTAGCTTAATTGATAATTTTAACTAACATTGTTGATGTGCAAGATTGGCCATGACATTTATTATTATTATGTGCTAATCGCTATAAGATTTGCATCAAGTTGGATCTTGCATTGTGTTCTTGCTCTTATAATTGTATCTAATAGTTCGAAGACATGGACGCAACTGTTTATTAGCTTGTTCTATTGATGGTATCATATCCATTCTTGCATCAATTAAAGCTTTGAAAGTAATAGATTGTGTATTTGACACAACTTACCTATTGACATCTCCAGTCGTACAAATTTGTAGCTAATGAACTTCAATTTATGATGCAGATACTATTCTATGTACGGACATGTTGAGCGATTAGCTCAGGAGATTAAGAAAGGAGCCGAAGCTGTTGACGGAGTAGAGGCCAAATTATGGCAGGTTTGTTATTATTCTTGTTCTAATTGTTCAATTATTAACAGAAGATTCTGATGAACAATATCCAATGTAAGTCTTTGTTATTGCTTCTTCTGGGATGCACAAGAGATAGATACTGATTAGTTTCATAGTTTGGCTGCAAAGTTAATATTCAAACATCGTTTCTTAGAAACAAATTATTATATATCTTACCATAAGAACCTTTGGGATAAACAAAAAAAAAAAAAAAAAAAAAAAAAAAAAAAAAAAAAAAAAAACTCCTATGAAGATGTATTTTGTTGTTATTTATATGAGATGCGATGGTAACAGGTGCCGGAAACTCTTTCTGATGAGATTCTTGCAAAGATGAGTGCACCGCCGAAGACTGACGCACCAGTCATTACCCCAAATGACCTCACCGAGGCTGATGGAATCATATTTGGTTTCCCAACTAGATTTGGTATGATGGCTGCTCAGTTCAAGGCATTTATGGACTCGACCGGAGGCCTATGGAAGACCCAGGCGCTCGCAGGGAAGCCTGCTGGCATATTTTACAGCACTGGATCACAAGGAGGTGGACAAGAAACTACCGCGTAAGCTTTTATTTTGCCTTTACTACCTTAGAGTATCTCTAATGTTGGTGTAAAATTGGGTATAAATTGGTATCTCCAAAACAACTTTTGCATCCTCATTTGCATTTTGATGTATCTAAATCCTAATTATGTTTCAATGAAAAGATCTAAATCTACTTTTTGCCTCTCGTGGTTGTAAAAATTTACAATTTTTTTTTACATGTTCTGCCGGAAAATGCAATTTACATATTTGCGTCTCTCCATTAGAGAGGTTTCCGGCCACTTTGGAGATCTAAATCTCTATTTTATACCACCATTGAGAAAATTAAAACAAAAAGACTGACTCGGGATTTCGTGACTCTGCAGCTTAACAGCCATTACCCAACTTGTCCATCACGGTATGATTTTCGTGCCCGTTGGCTACACATTTGGAGACGGCATGTTCGAGATGGAGAATATTAAGGGTGGCAGCCCGTATGGTGCCGGAACCTTTGCTGGAGATGGTTCTAGACAGCCTTC